TTTTTTTTTTTTGGTTTTGGTTTTGGTTTTTTGAGACAGGGTCTCACTATGTAGTGAGACTGACCTGGAACTCACTATGTAGCTCAGGCTGGTCTTGAACTCACAGCAAACCTCCTGACTCAGCCTCCCAAGTGCTGGGACTACAGGTGTGACCCACCACGCCTGGCAAATTTATCCTTCTTAATGGCTGAGTAGTACTTCATTGTCTAAAAGGAACAACCACATTTTCTTTATCCATTTATCAGTCAATGGGTATTTGGGCTGTACCCAAGATTTAGCTGTTACAAACTGTGCAAACAAATTGTTTAACATCACTGCCCATTCAAGAGATGCACATTAAAACAATGCTGAGATTCTATCTCCCTCTGGAAAGATGGCTGCTATCAAGAAATCAACCAATAACAAAGTCTGGCATGGCTGTGAAGAAAAAGGAGCCCTGCTCTACTGTTGGTGGGAGTATAGATTGGTGGAAATCAGATTGTTTTAATTTTTTTGCCCCAGAATTTTTATTTGAAATGATGCCCCTGAAGTCTTCAACTCAAGAAGCTGGGATTTTAAAAATAAAAACTTAGAAAATTTAAAAAAGATGCCCCTACTTCATTTTATCTATTTTATTTGTTACGTATTGTTATATGTTATTTCTTATAAATTCAAATACTTATACTGTAATTAAATTATTTGCCTATCTGTGGTGAAAGAGCAGTTTACATCTGTGAAGACCAAACCCACAGTCAGAGAGGATATGACTTGTAGTTCCTTGATTTCTCAGTTTCCAGAGACAACCCAGGACTCCAAGACTGGGAATGAGTATCACAGACCCAGCTGCATTACAGATGCCCTTAGTGTAGGTGGTGAGGGAAATCTCAGTCCCCCTTAATCAACTTAGTGGGAATTATGGTGTCTCAGTACCCCAAATTTCTTTCCCCAAGAATCACTGTCCTTGTCAGGGAGTTTTCCTGGTACTATTTTAATGGAACCATCAAATACCCATGTTCTGCTGCCCTGTGTCTTCTGGGAGCAAATAAATCCAGGACACAAATGGAAATTTCATATCCTTAAGATCTATTCCAGAAACTCCTTTCCTAGACCTTGTCTCCAACTTAATTTAGGTGACCTCTGAAATACTTGACCATAACAGTGGGACAAGTTTGACACTTAGGACTGAACAGAACACACACCACAGTGGCAAATACTAGGCAAAATATAATGTCTGCAGTAGTGAGCTTGTGGGGTACAGGTTTCTGAGACTCTTATCAAATAGTTTCTGGAGCTTCCTTTTTCTTTCACTCTATACTCTCGCCAATTAATACAGAGGACAATTCCTTCAGAACTGTGTTGTTTATGGCATTTGGGAACATTTCTGAGGTGTAATTATTTCCAGAAATCAGTGCAACTGCACAGATCCTTTTTTCAGCTACAACCTGTGGACAGAAAAAGAAACAGCAATAATTGTGAGACTTTTAAAAGCAGACATTTTACACATCTCAAATCTTTTTCTCCACATCTACCTATCACTTTAGTTGAAATGAAAAGGCAAGAATTAAAAGGTATGTGATTAATCCATGCAAGAGGTCTATGCCAATTATTGTTGGGTCATGAAGGAGGAAGAGATTTCCTCTGCTTAAGAATGTGCTAAACAAGGAAGGAGGAGTGAGTTGTTTCCCAGGAACCTAAGGAAGTCTACATCCTAAGAGAAATTTTAACTCAGTGTGTAGTGGCAGCCCACTGGCAATAAAAAGAATTAAACTGCTTAGCCAAACTCTGGTTAAAACCCTCAACAAATGAACACCAGATAATGGTGTCCCTCCCTCAGTTCACGGTCTCAAAGATGGCAGCAAACCCTTGGGTAAAGCCTATTCTTTCCTCCCAAAAAATCCTGACTCATCTCCTCTAGCCATTTCTTCTAAGGCTAAACACCTGCAGAAAAGGTCTTGTCAAAGTTGGAACTGTAAATATAAACTCAGCACTGGTGCTCCCTAGAAGACCTACAAGGTGCAAAATGATCCAAGAAAAGGCATTCTTTAGAGAAAGACATTTGCTGCCTAAACCCTTTCCCCATATTCTCACACCTCTAGAAAAAATCCCAATCTCCACTTGATTCTAATTCCTCTCTGGGGAACTCCCTTACTGCTACCTTGGCAGTGTACTGTCATCTACATAAATCCTTGTCTTTTCTTCATTTCTTGTCTGTTGGTAAATTCTTCCTACCACCTGCCTCACTAGCCCTCCATATGCTGCCTCTCACAGCAGAGTGGAGAGAGAAATACATGAGCAGATTGTTGGAAGTGTAAATGGTTCCTTTAGGCTGGGACATAAGATAATAAAGAAGTTCTCTAATCCAGCACACGATCTTCTGATTGCCTGGGCTTCCCCGTCCTGTGTCTTTAGCTTCCACCATTGCCTGCCGCACATATCAGCAATGGGAAAATTAATGGCTTAGTGAAAAATTAACTTGCTCCATCTTAATTCTACCCACTCTAGTTTTTACCACTAGATACTGCACCTGCTACGACTATTGCCTTATAAGGTACCCTATATATTTCTTTTATGCCTATTTTGCTTTTTATTCACACATTTGATAATATCTTGAATATAATCCCATTATCAGAGCCCTTTACTGATATACATTTTTGGATAACGTTTTTAATGTTTGTTTTGTTTTTACCCTTTTTAATCTTCAGAGTACTGGAGTTAAAAGAATCTTCTTACACTTAAATTCTTGTGTATTCTTGAAAATATTTGACACCAAATATTTTCTGTCATTTCTCCCATTCTAGCCTCAATTTAGAAGACTGCTTTAAGGGAAAACACCTTAAGATTTTGACAGTGAAATATATTATAGAAGTAGAATGAGAGTATTAAGCATGTTACCCTGAAGACATATTTGGGGCAAGAATTAGTGTTGGATTAGAATTTAAAGAAACTGATCCTAAAACCGGCTGACCAGGCAGACATTTCCCAGCATTCCTTGGGCCACCGCAAAGGAAATAACAAGACTTCACAGATGGACCACCAGATGGCGCTATGATGCCAATGGGCTGTAAAAGAGCTCTAGCAAGAGCCTGGGAGAACAAACCAGAAGAGGAAAGGGTTAAGAATCTCTCAGGTTTGGATCCAATATTAGGCATATGTTGAGAAATTTTCAGTTAATGCTAGGCTACCGACATGTGTGCAAGAGGTGGAAGGAGGTTCTCTGTAAACTTTAATGAGATTCACAGTTGACGAATTTGGCAGTGTTGCCTTGATGTCAGGACAGGTGCAGAGAGAGGGCCAACAGTCTTACAGGAATGTGGGAAACCACAGGAGTTGGGTTTCCTTTCAACTGAGTGCCTTGCTGCAGCACTCCTCCTTCCCTGTAGGCCTTCTCCATGAGAGAAGTGGGTGATCCTGTCTGAGCCCAGCTGGAAGGAACTCTTCTTGGACAGGGAGAATCTGAAAGGGTAGACAGAGGTGATATCAGTGGCCCATCCACCCTCCTCATAGGGAGGAGCCTCAGAGCTCCAGCTCTCTTTCCAGAAATCACAGCATTTAGAACAGTTTACTTCTCATGGTGACCTGCCATGAGCCCTAAGCTCTTCAGTGCAACTCTTTGTCTCTTGGGAGCAAGTAAGTTCTGGGCTCTGTTGGAAAACCTTGGCATAGGTTTGCAGAATTCCCGCTTCAAATATTTCCTCTGTGGGCACAACCTATGTCTCAGGTCTTGACTTCAACTTGTGCTTCTCTTCCTTACAGGTTTCATGCATGCTGGAATCATCCAGACACCCAGATACTGTATTATACGCACAGGAAAAAAGATGACCCTGGAGTGTTCTCAGAATATGAACAATTATGCAATGTTCTGGTATCGCCAAGATCCAGGACAGGGGCTGAGGCTGCTCCATTACTCAGGAAGTACTTTCAGCACTGCCAAGGGAGATGCTCCAGAAGGGTACAGTGCCACCAGAGACGAGAATGAGCACTTCTCTCTGACTCTGGAGTCAGCCAGCACCAACCAGACCTCCATGTACCTCTGTGCCAGCAGTGAATACACAGCATGGCACAGCCAGCTGCTCACTGAACAAAAAGGACAGTCACAGTGTGAAGGGGGACACGTTTGCCCAAGCTCTGTCTCAATGCAGAGGAAAAGCTGCCCTTTCTGAATCTCTTCCCAGACTTTTCAGCACTGGGGTTTTTACTGGGATCCTTGCTCAGCATGAGCCGCAGTAGGAGCTGAGGCCCATCAGTCTGTGTGCATGCAAGCATGTGTGTGTGTGTGTGTGTGTGTGTGTGTGTGTGTGTGTATGTAAATTCACATAACATAACTGCTATCCCTCTCAATTTGGAATATTCTAACAATTGTTTAAAGGAAGACAGTAGCATTAGACCTGGAGTGAAATAAATGATAGAATTAGAAAAAATAAGGTAAAATCTAAATCTTTACTAAAAATCTGTGGGTACAGTACAGTGTTTTGAGGCCTGTGCAGGTAGATTAAAAGAGGAGCCTCATTGCTTTTTCAAAGCAAAACATTTATCAGTATGTTTTAGATATATAGAGTGATAACATTCATCACAGGGAACTTGTACTTGTATAGGATATAACTTGCTTCTTTTTTTCTATCTTCCTTCCCTTCCATATATACAAAAGCTTTGCTTCTATTTTTCTTCTGTTTCCTCTTTTTTCTTGTCCCTTCTTTCCTTTCCCCTCCCTGCCTTGTTCCCTTTTCATTTGAATATTTTCTCCCCATTTTCAAATGTCTATTGGACATTACATCGACTTGGGTTAAAATTCATGAGTTTTCCATGTGAAATATTACAGAATAGTATCAGTCACTTTATTTTTCACTAGGCCATCTACCTTCATAGCACCTATAGGTAGAAGCCCACACCTGGCAGCAAGGTTTGTTAACATGGGACCCAGGAACTCTAAGACCTTGATGTCTCTACCTGGAAATCACAGGAAATGCAAATACCATGTCTATGCTGTGTCCAAGGGTACCTTTGTGAGGCCGAAAGGGAAGGGAAGAACTGGCTCACTAGGACCATGCAGGTGGAGAGGGGAGCAGGCTAATTGCTTGGCAAAAAATTGGTTCACTAATTGATTAATTCACCTGAATTGATTCAAATTGTTTATCTCTCACAATTATTTTGACATTGGGAAAAAACCAGAAGTCATATAGTGCCAGACCAGTGAATAATGTGGATAAGAACACATTGTAATAGTAGTTTAAGAATTATTTCAAACGTCTTTGAGACTTTTTCAATTTTTCCACTGTTTTCTTTTTGTCTGTATTTTGTTTCATTTAGTAGTCAATCTCCAGCTGTTTCTTGGCAAACTTGTTAGTTTAGTTTACTCTGATGCCAAATTTGGATGTTGTATTATTTCTGTCACTGAAGATTCATTTTGCATTCTTTATATTTTGTTTTGATATATGTTTTCATGTTTGTTTATTTTGTGTGGTAAATTTTAACATAGACTGTATAGAGTAATAAGCATTATTTGTAAATGACTCCCATTTTCTGTAATTTATGTCTTTACTTTGAAATAATAGTATATGGTATAACCAAGGAGAAAATGCTCCGACTAACTTATGGGCAAGAGACAGAGAAAGAGCCAGAGAGGATGGAGTCAAAGATCCTAACCCTAACCCCAAACTCATATCCCCCTAATCCACTCCCTTTCAGTAGGCTCCTCCTTCTGTTTCCATCAGCCCTCAATAATACCAGCAAACTGGGACCCCTTCACCTTCCAAAAGCCCCATTTCTGAACATGTGAAACTTTGTGGGGATATTTCTTCATCTAAACCACTATAGGCTTGCCATAATTCTATACTGCACCCCCTTACTATTCTTGTTTTTTTTGGGGGGGTACCGGGGATTGAACTCGGGTCCTTGTGCTTGCAAGGCAGGCCACTGAACCACTGAGTTAACCCCTTAATATTCTTTGCCACCAAGTCATGTTGCTCATTTTCATAAGGAAAGACTCCAGAGCCAGCATTACTGGGTAGTTCTTATTCACACTAGCCCCAGACAAGGATCAAAGGGGTTGAGTCCCTTAGATTTGGCTGTGAGAGAAGACTGGCATCAAGGTGCTGTGCCTACTAGTAGGGAAAAGTAGCCACTAATGTATTCTAATTAAAAAAAGAGCCATGGGAAGAGACCTGGTATACCAGGTCAGTTGGTTGCCCTAGCTTCCTCTATTCTCTTAACATTGACTTCTACAAGCAAAACAGTCTCAGGAAAAGTAGCCCATATAATCCATTGGAATCAACCTCCAAAATCAGAAAGTGTCTGGAGAGTAAAACATAATCTGTGGAGAATGCTACACACAGGATATTATTATAGGTGATAAATCCTAAACTATGCTGCTCTATGCTGTGAGTTGATAAAGTTGTAGAACTGTTTGGGGCAAATCTTTCCCCCCTAATAATTTACAGACAATACTGGCTGTCTTTGTATCTAATGCTACCTTGGAAATGAAAATATAAACAGAAACTATGGCATAAATCCAGTCATAGAGATGACATGAAGATAGAGTTTAATCGCTGATTTCTCTACTCAGCTGATGGACGGGTGCATGAATTCCAGTGTTGAGATCTGCAAACAATCGGTCAAGAGGAAGGAGAGAGGGACTGGTATCCCGGATGCCAACACTGCAGGAAGCCTCTGGGGGCATGAAAGCAGGGCAGTGGCATCATAGGATAACTCCCAAATCAGGAAAAGTGAGGCTTGCAGGGACTGAGCTGACGCTCAAGACAACTGACCCTGGAGGTCCAGCGCTGCCTGCCACAGCTATACCATAAGCTCTGGGCTCCTTCCCTGGGTTGTGCTTTTACTCCTGGGAGCTGGTGAATCCCACAGACAAGGAGGATATTCCCATTTGGACTTGCCACTTGGCCAGTCCTCCTCTTTCCCCTGGACATGCACCCCAGGCTCTCTCCTGTGCTCATTCTCCATCTGTTTCCCACAGGTCCAGTGGAATCCAGAGTCATCCAGACCCCAAGACACATGATTAGGGCAAGCGGACAGCAAGTGACACTGAGATGCTCCCCTAGGTCTGGGCATCTCAAGGTATCCTGCTGCCAGTAGGCCCTGGGTCAAAGACCCCAGTTTCTGTACAGGTATTTTCAAAATTTGCAGAGGGAAAAAGGCATTGTCTCTGACAGATTTTTAGCTCACCTCTGCCTCTGCGATTAGTGTGAAGGCTTTGGAGCTGGGGGACTTGGCTGTGTATCTTTGTACTGGCAGCAGACGCAGCTCTGCACATTCCTGAGTTCTGTGCACAAACCTCTTACCTTGACCCTGACAGGAAGAATATGTAACCTTCTGAGCAGGCTTTGGTCTGTGAAGAGATGCTTTTAGCTCTTTCAAACACTCTTCCATGTCCTTCCTGCTCAGATCACTCCTAGCCAACAAAGGAGCCCAAATGCGTGGGCTTCCTGAATGTGCACCAAATGTTTCCACTTCTCTACCAGCATTTTCTTATGTATTGTCAAGTCTTGGTTAACTTCATTAGAAGAGTGAGTCCTTAATGTATTAGACTCTTTGTATACAATGGATATTTTAATACATTACAATGACCATGCCAATCAAATATACTCATTCTCCCTTTGCAGATGAAAAAGGTCAAGGGCAATAAGTCATTTAACCAATGGCTCACAGCTTATACGAATCAGAATTGGAAGACAGATTTCTCTGTGTTGATAAACCTGTCTATCTTCAATCATCACCCTCTGTGTCGTAGCCAGTGAGAAAAAGCCCCAGTCCTGGTCTTCTGCATCCCGCTGGGAAGCAGTAGAAAATTCAGAGGCCATCATGGGTCATTACTGTGGCTCTTTCTGGGGAAAGTTGAGGAAAAAGACTCATGAAAATCATCTCATACTGAAATCATTTTAATCACTTTAAAACCGTACATAACTTAAAGGAGGAAATGTTTAATTTTTCTCAGGGTTTCAGTCCATGGTGGGCCTGGCTCCGTTGCTGTAGGCCTGAGGTTGGGCAGGAAGGGCGTGACAGGAATGCTGCTCACCTCCTGACAGCAGCAAGCAGAGAAAAAGCACCGGAACAGACAGACACTCCAAGGACACACTCCAGGGTCCTACTGCCTTCAACTTCGCCCCACCTCCTAACAGAACCTTTAACAGTGAACTCATCAATGGACAAATTGAGAACTTCTATTCTCTTATCTTCTGGAATCAGGTAACTCCTAGGAAGAGACAAGACACCCCTATACCGAATTTATAACTGGATCCCAAGCCTTTCTGAAAGACTAGGTTTCATATCTTCCTATTCCTTTCCTGGGATTGCCTCTTCCTTTGATGTCCTTTCCTCTTAGGGTACTAGAGTCACCCAGACATGGGGCAGCTAATCACTGGCACACTAATTTAAATGCTAGCATTGAAAAGTGATGGAAAAGAAAACAGATGCCATCTCTAATTTGAGACAGAGATTTTCCCAAATACATCTTCTATGCCTGAAGGCATGAGGCTTGAAACCCTACCCTATACCATCAATACCCACTTCCTGGTATAGATTCAATGCAAGAAATGTAGGGCTGTAGCTCACCAGATTCCTACAGCCCACTCCCTGACCTTGGTGCAGGGTATGAGCAGAGATCTTTGCTTGCTTTTTCTCCTTACCCAGATAGGAAAGGCCGGTTGTGACACTGAGTCTCCATTTATAGAATGAGGCCATTATTAGTCCTGACATCGTGAGAGTCATTTGGGTGAAAATAATCAAATACACAATCACTTAGGAAGGCCCACAGGTAGATCATAGCCCTAGATTTGCCTGAATGATTCACATCCATGCTTTAAAATCTAATGCAGTTTTATCTCCTTAGGCAGTGAGGACCGAAAATAGACTGCTTATTTCAAAGAATTGAACCTTAAAAGACTAAAGTTAAAATATCTTCCCTGAGGGTAACATCTCTTTCCATACATTTTCTAAAGCCACACTTGAGAAAGCTGTGACCTGCTGATGAACACTGGAATAGCATTGCCACGGACAAAGTATGGTACATTAACCTGAATTAGAAACAAAGATAAGCTTGAAGAATGTGAGAATTAAACTTAAATCTTATTGAGTTTGGAAATAGGCACTAGAGGATACTCATTTACCTTCCTTTTCCAATAAGGGCATTATTCAAAGCTTGATTTAGAATAAGGAGGCAGAGCCTCATGGTATCAGGCTTTCCAGGGTTGAAACTGTAATAGCTCACGATCAGCACAAGGTGACATCAACATCAAATGTACTGAACTCCATTGTTCACTTTCTCACCAGCCAGTGACCAGAAATGGGCACCAGTAGCTTGAGCTCTTTTATACTACATAATTTAACATCATTGTATTGAAGAAAATGGATCTTTTTAAGGTGTCTTTTGGCTAAAG